ATATAGCTTCAGGAGAGACCTATATAGGCTTGATGGACTATATATATATATGCAGCTGTTATTCAATAGAAGAGGAAGTGACCATGAGCACCACATCCAGCTTGCAAGTCTTAACAGATTGTGCTTCTTTTTGCTGTGCTGTTTTGCAGTGTCTGAAAACATCATCTTCCCTACCCATCATCCAAGGCTTGGGGACCCCAGAGTTTGAGTTGAGGTACTGCTGGAGACTAATCAGCTAAAACTGTATAGCTTGCCATTGAGAGCATTGTCTAGCAAGCTTCCCCGTTACTTGTCCAGCTAGGACCACCCGACCTGTTAAGGCTTTGACTTACAAGGTTAACAGGAGCTGAGTGGGAAGAATCCCTGCTGCCAGTGACTGGTCTGCCCTTCCAAGTCCAACTAATGAGCCAGGTTGGCTGTATTGTCATCAGCAGTGCCCTGAAATACTGTTGACTCTCCTGGCTCAGGAACCGGACTAGCGAGACAACCCAGAGAGTAGGCTGGATTCTGACATGCCAAACATGCAATCTTGTGGCAGTTCAGCCCCAAGGAGTATAAACTGTGGATGGCTAGAGCTTAAGGGTGCTGAGCCCCCCCAAATCTATCTACAGCTCAACTCTTTAAGGGGTGCTGGGAGGGGAAAGCTCTGTTACCTGAGGAGCACAGCCAATCCTCTGAGCAGTCACAACCCATAGCACCCACGGGTCCCACTTGCCCACGTCCCAACTCTGCAGTGGCATCCGCCCGCTTCCCATCTGGCAGGCTGCTCATCAGGGCATCCTCAGCTCTGACTGGCTGATGGACCTATCGGTCAAGCCTGTCTTAAGGGGCCCAACCTTTTAAATGAGTTTTATTCAGCCCCCACACCAAGAATATTTTCACACACCGCCTATGCCAAGGGGATCCTGCTTACCTCCCCCACCCTCTCCCCCCACACCCTCCACCAGTAGGATAGCCACTGGTTGGTTATTAACTATCTGACAAGCATGGTTTTGAGCCCTCACTAGGTGGATGACAGTTACCATGTGCTGAAAAGCATCTGTGACTGTAATGAAGTGAGATCAGTCTGATAGTTTGTTAATGCTTCTGCTCCCAGAGTGTGGTGAGAATGTGAAATTCACTCCCGGAAGCTGTGGTCGAAGCAAAAAATATCTATATATTTAAGAGAAAACCTCATGCATACACAAGGGAGCAGGGAAGAGAGGGGAATAGGAGGAGAATAGAAGGGGTGGGGGCTCATGTGAAATATAAACACTGACACACACAAGTTGGGCCGAATGCCCTGTTACCATGCCGAATCACTATTTAATTGTATGCAATAAAAATTACAGTTATTAGTAGAGGGTACAGTTGATAATGGAATGCAACAGTTCATTGTTGAGCACAGTTGAAGAGCAAAGAGCAGCAAAACTGGATTGTTTCTAATATTATTAATAATAATCCTTGCATTTGATACAATTTCTGGTCACAATGACAGTCTATCTAGTATCAAACCATACTCTTCGGTTTTGTCTTGACCTCAGAGATCAAGCTAAAAGAAGAAGCTTACTCAAATGCAAAAGATAGTGGGAATTCAGAGGCCTGGAAGAAATACAAAGGGAGACGAAGAAAGTAATAAAAGGAGCAAAACGGGAGTGTGAACAAAAACTTGCAAGGGACATCAAAACCAATAGTAAGAGCTTTTATAAATATATCAAGAGAAAGAGAATGGTAAAGGCGAATGTGGGTCCATTAAAGACAGATACAGGCGAGACTACAATGGAAAATAAAGATATGGCTGACTTGCTAAATAAGTACATTGCTACAGTTTTTACAGTAGAAGATGAGGACGAAATACCAAGCATACAAAGGAAGTAAGTCAAAAAGAAATACTTAATAAACTAAATATAAATTTAAAAAATGGTGATGGAGAAAATAATGAGACTCAAAATAGGCAAATCTCCAGAACCTGACAGTTTCCATCCCATGGATTAAAGGAAATGGGAAAGGAAATTGCAGATGCATTGGTCATGATTTTCCAAAGCTCACTAGATTTGGGAATTTTGACCTTAGATTGGAAAATTGCCAATGTCACCCCTTCAGTTAAGAAGGGAGGGAGGGAGAAACCAGGAAACTACAGACCTGTCAGTTTAACGTCAGTTGTAGGGAAATTACTGGAATCCATCATCAGGGACAGAGCGACTGAACATTTGGAGAAGTATGAGATTATCAAAGGGAGTCAGCATGAGTTTGTAAAGGGTAGGTCGTGCCTAACTAATCTAGTTGAATTTTTTGAGGAAGTCACTAAAATGGTCGATAAGAGAGTGTCTACGGATGCCATTTACATGGACTTTCAGAAGGCATTTGATAAGGTTCCGCACAAGATTATTAGCAAAAATAGAAGCGCACGGAATTGGAGGTAACTTTGTGACGTGGCTTTGCAATTGGTTGGGAGGCAGAAAACAGAGGGTAGGGGTTAAGAGAACGTTCTCTGATTGGGGGACGTGACAAGTGGTGTTCCCCAGGGATCTGTTCTGGAACCTCAGCTTTTTGCCATACACATAAATGACTTGGATGAAGAAATAGAAAGTTTTATATCAGAGTTTGCGGATCACGTTAAGATAGGAGGCTCAGCAAGTAGTGAAGATCAGAGTAGGAAGTTACAGAGGGACTTAAACAGATTAAGAGAATGGGCAAAGCTGTGGCAGATGGAGTTCAATATAGAGAAGTGTGAGGTCATCTACTATGGACCGAAAAAAGATAGGGCAGAATACTTTCTTAATGGGGAGAAATTAAGAACTGTGGAAGACCAAAAAGATTTGGGTGTCTATATCCACAAATCGCTAAAAACTAGTTCCTAGGTGCAAAACATAATCAAAAAGGCAAATGGTATATTGGCCTTTATCTCGAGAGGCCTGGAATACAAAGGGGAAGAAATGATGCTTCAGCTGTATAGAGCATTAGTCAGACCCCACCTGGAGTACTGTGTTCAGTTTTGGGCACCACACCATGGGAAAGATATATTGGCCTTGGAGGGGTTGCAGCGCAGATTCACCAGAATGTTACCAGGCCAAAAAGGGTTAAATTACGAGGAAAGGCTGTGTAAACTTGGATTGTATTCCCTCGAGTTTAGAAGATTTAGGGGTGATTTGATAGAGGTTTTTGGGATGATAAAGGGATTTAATAGGGTAGATGCAGAAAACCTATTTCCTATGTTGGGGAAATACAAAACAAGGGGGCATAGTCTTAAAATTAGAACCAGTCCATTTAAGAGTGAAATTAGGAAGTATTTTTTCACTCAAAGGGTGGTAGAAATCTGGAACTCTCTCCCCCAAAAGGTCGTGGATGCTGGATCCATCCACACCTTCAAGAAAGAGATTGACAGATTTTTGGTAGGTCGGGGTATTAAGGGATACAGGGAGAAAGTGGGAAATTGGATTTGAAATTCTAGTAAAGTTATAGATCAGCCATGATGTAGTTAAATGGCGGAACAAGCTCGACGGGCTGAATGGCCTACTCCTGTTCCTATGTTCCTATATAGAACCCACCAGACTGCTATAAGGAAAGGCTGTGAGATACACAATACAACACAAAATTACATTTATATATCGCCTTTCATGTTGGGAGGACGTCCCATGGCGCTTGTAGTCAGGGATTTGGATCTGAGCAGTGGCGAGGGATCTGGATCAAGGAGCGTGGAGGACGGGGATGGTAGGAGGATGGCTGAAGGCACGGTTGAAGAAGAGAGCTTGAAATGTGCCTTGAAGGAGGCAAGGGAGGAAGTGAGGCAAAGGGAATGTGGGATGGAATTCCAAAGGGTGGTGGCAGAAAGGTTGAAGGCTCGACCGCCCATGGTGGGGCGGCCGGGGCGGGGGATATGGAGCAGATTAGAGTCTGCTGAGCGGATGGGGTGGACAGATTGAAAAGAGGTTAGCAGGTCACAGAGGTAGAAAGGGGCAAGGCCAAGAAGGTGAGGATTTTGAACTCTATCTTCTAGGAATGGGGAGCCAGTTGAACCGGGTGAGGTGATGGGGTCACGGAGCCTGGTGTGGGAGAGGATATGAGCTCTAGAGTTCTGGATGATCTGCAGCTTGTGGAGGGAAGAGTTGGGAAAGTTGACAATCAGGGAGTTGGCATAGTCGAGCCTAGATGCGACGAATACATGAATGACGGTTTCGGCGACCTGAGGGGTGAGGCAGAGGCGGAGCCAGGCGATATTGCAAAAGTGAGGGAGGCAGAGTGGGTCATGGCATGGATGTGGGGGAGATAGGATGCTTGAGGGTCGAACAAGCCGCCAAGGTCGACTGTTCAGGGTTATCATTGCTTTCATCTGCTTATTTTCAGTTATAGCAAAATTAGCCATAAAAGTTGCAGTATTAGGCATATCGCTACTGAACTCTATGCCTATTTCTGCATGCTGCAGTGGACATGCATTTGTTTGTCAGAGTGAGAGATTGTGCCTGGACTGTCAATTTGATATTGAAACTATTTATTGTTTCTCTCCCCCTCCAACACCCCCATCCGCACCAAGCAAGATCACAACCACCGAAAGGAAACACTTGCTTTTTGTGGTGCGCAAAAGGATACCAGAAAGCATTGTTTCCCAGCAAGGTATTCTGGTATAAATAGCTAGATGGTATAAATAGCACACAGTGACTGAGGAGCACCTCAGCAAGGCTAAGCAACGAGTTCCACCAGGCTTGCCTTCACTGGTCGCATTCCGTTCGTGTTTTACAATATCATTGGGGCTCAACGGTGCTGTAGACTTAAAGCAGGAAACAGCTGAGGCTTCACTTTACAGTGCAGCATCCTGACCAGAAAACATGGCTTTAACACCCTTCTTTTCAGCAGCAGTAAAGCCAGCCCCAAAGCACTAGGAGAGTTGAAAAGTTTTTTCCACTTAAAAACAGAGCAAGAAATCCCACGGAACCTATTTTCCTGCAGACGACCTTTTTGTTTCTTCCAGTGGTAATAATTCCAGTTTCAAGAACTCAACGCCTTTATCCGCAACAGGAACGGGGCTTTGGGGTCTATTTAATAAGTGGCCAGCGTTTCCTGTTCTGAAGATCTTGCATCTTGCGCAAGAGAACACAAAACCAAACTGTTTCAAGAGAGTGGGGGGTGAAATTGCAAAGTTAATTTGTATTCTAGGAGCTACGAATTAGGTCAACAATTGATAGAGGAGGAAAGTAATTCTGATCTACTGAAGACTAAAGATATATATTTTTTTCGATTGGACCAGTTTACTGGATGTAGTGACCTTCTTGCAGGATACCCACTGCAGTGGGTGAGTGATCCTCCTCCACAGCTACAAAGGAAGATTCTATTCATTGTATACTTTTGTGAGAATCTGAATTGACTCAGACTGTGTAATAACAGCTTGGATTTATACAGCACCCTTCACGCAGGATAACATCTTGGAGCACTTCCCAAGGATGGGATCGGATACAGAAGGTTGGAGGAAGGAGAGAAGTGACCATAGGCAAAGTCAAAGAGGTAGGCTTTAAGGTGGGATTTAAAGACAGATAGAGGGGAACGACGACGACGACATATGAGGTAGAGAGATAGAGACTGCAGTTCCAGAGGTTAGGGGTGTAGTGAATGAATGTTCATAGTCCCCACGTGGGAAGAAAAATGACGTGGTGATCTTTGCACCTATAAACAAGGTATTCACACTGAGAAGTTGGCTCAGTTGGTAGCACTCTTGCCATTGAGTCAGAAGGCTGCGGGTTCAAGCCCCACATTGTTGGGACTTGAACTCACATAGTTTATAGGTTAAGATGAGACTCCAACGTGGTGCTTGGGGTGGGGGAGTGGGGATTGAACTGTTGGAGGGGCTGTCCTTTGGATGAGATGTTATACTGAAGACTTGTCTGTCTGTTTAGGTGCATGTTAACGTCCTATGGCATTATTCTAAAAGAGAAGGGAATTTCTTCTGGTATTGTGGCACTGAATGTGGGGAAGAGAGAGAGAGGTAGCGCTTTGTATGAGTGAAAGAGAGAGAGAAAGATGACACTGTGTGTGGGAGAGAGAGAAAGGTGGCACTGTGTGTGGGGGTGGGTGGGGGGTGGAGGAACTGGCTTGTTGGGGCAGAGGTGTAGCTGTTCTATGCCTTTTACTAAAACAAAATGTTGAAAGAAATTTATAATTTTGATTCCTTACACTTTGACAGAATAATGAAATTCCACTTCATACATGTCTCCATTACATTGTTGACTCACTGCTAGCTGTGGTTTCATAATAGATATGAGCATTGGTAGGACTTAACATGACCTGGACTTTCCATAGGCTGCTGTTATAGAAAACCCCAGCGTTTTCCAGTATTCACAAACAGACAGTAGTATGCGGAGGCATAAATGGAATATACTGTAGTGTGTAACTAAGAGGCTCCACCTTTCAGTGGCTTCTGGTGGGTTTATTCAGTCAGTGTCATGTGATTTACAGGCGCAGCTGTGGAGTTGGTTAGAATGCTTGCTTAATAAAGAACAAGTCAGCGATGTATTCGCACATATGAGTCAGTTTGTGAGTGAGAGGTAGCAGCACGTTCTCAGATCAGGTATGTCTTCTATATATTCTTCAGTTCTATTCATGCCGAACACTTTTGGCTCAGGTCTGTGTTTTCAGAATGACTTGAATGTCCAATAAGTTGTCTAACAAAGGCTTTGGGAATTGAATGATAGTGTGGTGCAGTTAGGGGACTTTGTTCTATTGTTTGTCTGCTGGGTGCTATGAACATGTGCCAAAGAGTAGGATTTTCTAAGTTGGGAGAGGTGGGTGGAGAACAGGAGAGTCTAAGCTTTGTTTCAGAAGAGTTATGATATGGACTGAGTATTGTTTGATAAACCTTGCATTTGATATATCATGTCACTGGAATGTCTCAATGTGCTTTGCAGTGTTTACTGTAAAGTGCAATGACTTGGTATTTGTAGGTGAATATTCAGCCAACATTAGACTCAGGCGGGTGAGGAGAACAAGGCACATTGGTCATGTTTTGCCTCTGTACATCCCATTTCTCCTGCTCCTCTTAAAAAATGATAGCTGTTTCCTGTTCTAAGATAGATCATTAAAGGATCGATTATCTTTTGAAAAGGGTGTTTGAGTGGGTTTTGTGAGTGATGTCTGTGCAGGGAATTATAGTACTCATTTGTTTTTGCATTCTGTATTCATGCAGGTAATCTTTAAATACAGGGTGGGGTAAGGATCTGAACCAGTAGTGAATAACCTTTTTGCTCAACCAATAAAGTAAATCAAGAAATATTCAATCAAGGAAAAAATGGAAAAAAAAACATTGCTTTGAAAGACTCACCTAGACTAATGTGAATGTTCAGTGGAGGGGAGAGCGGGGGGGGGGGGGGGGGGGGGGAGAGGGTGGAGCACTTCTTGACTGCTCTGTGGGCCAGCCCAGCCCAGGAGCCATCGGTTGGCCACCACTGCTCTAAATAACCTTCTGTCTCTTGACTCACGGAATGAAGCTTGAAGGCAACATCTGGAATGTCGTTGTCAGCAAAGGTAGAGTAAATCACGGGCCTGACCAGCGGCCCCAGCCAATTAGCCCTATTCACGGGCTGAAGGTAGGGGGTAGTGGCGTAGGCAGGTGGGCTGGGGTTCCCCACAGGATTGTGGAAGGCAGCAGGAGGGGTTTCTCCAGGAAACTGAGAGCGAGCGTGAGACGTGGAGCTGCACTGGCCCCAGCCCCAGGGCTCCAATAATTCAGAATCCAGCTCTGGTTGTCAACACAGTAACAGAGAAGGAGAGTCACTATCAAAGCACAATTAGAGCTCCCCAGTTTTGAACAATGAGCACTCAGAAGGAAGAAGGAGACCAGTCAAAGACTTCATAGAGGTGTCTAAAATTTTAAATGACAATGAAAAATTAAACCCAGATCAATACTTTAGGGTGCATCAAGATACTAGAACGTGAGGTCATGCATTTTGAGTTATAAAGGACACCAGACATTTAAAAAGAAGCTTGATTCAGTGTTGGGCTGGGGGGCATTGGTAGACTGGGTGTTCTGGAGGGATGAGATTGGATGGGCTTAAGTATTTTCTTGATCCAGACCAATCCTGTAATGCTGTGACCAGTGAAGCATTCAATGCTTTGTTCTGGGGTTTAAAAAGAGTTTAATAATCTGAGTTTAAGAATCCTTGCATTTTGTTGATATAGCGCTGTATCACGTCTTCGAGACGTTTCAAAGTGCTTCACAAAATATACTGTAAAGTGAATTGATTGTATATTTTGTGGGCGAAACGTGGCAGCCAATGGCATACAGCAGTGTCATCCCACAAACAGTTGTGGATTGAGTGACCAAATTATTATTATTATTTTTTTGAAGGAAGTAAGGAAACTTTTTTTGTGTAGAGTAAGAAAACTTGCCCAACTTTAACATATCTTACAACCATTCATTCTCTTCCACACACACTGCCCTTTGTGTATTGTGCATCATGTTTGCCTTGCTGAGGGAGTGCTGGTCAGGCCAGCAATGCAAGGTGTAACTCTGGCCTGCCGGAGCTGCTCCTGCAGTCATACAATTAAGTAACAACTCTTGTGGATTGTTTCTGTGTTCCTGCCTGATTCCATTCCACAATATCAATGGGAAAGGATCCCACTCCCAACAGCCCCATGCTAGGTCCAAACTGTTTTTTAAGCTTTCAAACAGAGAGTGTAGAGCCTCCCAGATTAATTGGTGCCTAGATTGCATGTGCAAATCTTGCTTATTGGCCAGCGGGTTTTCTACCTCCAGGTATTACAGGCAGTAAGAGTTCTAAATCACGGTGATTTGGTTGAAGGGCGATATACACCTTAACTGTTCTTAATCAGCAATGATGCCAATAATAATGATAATAATCCTTGCATTTGATATCGCTGCTTATCAGGTCATCGAGGTGTCCTAAAGCGCTTTACAGGACTTTACTTTGAAGTGTAGTGGATGTGTATTTGTCAGCAATTTATTTGCAGCAATGTCACATAAGAAGTAATGAAGTAAACAACCTTTTTTTACAATAATAATCCTAGGGTTTGGTATTGCACCTTTCACATCAGGAGGACGTCTCAAAGTGCTTCACAGGATTTTACAATCAAGTCTAATGACTGCTTTTTATTGGTAAAGTTTTCTCACTAGGTAAAGTGTGGATTATGGGTGAAGTCATTTGATTTATTGTACTCAATCTTTTTGTTGTTGTTCTTGTTTTGCAGCAATAATGAAAGATCGACTAGAAGAATTGCTAGAGATTGCCAAATCGTATCAAGTGATAGAAATTGAGGATGACTGCCCGCAGGAAGCTTTTGTATTTGAGTGCGATCACATTCTGCAAGTGCTCTACAAGCAAGTACAGCAGATCCGAGAGGAAAACCAGCGTTTGAAGGTGGACGTCAGGCGCCTGGGGAAGCAGAACACTCGCTTCCTGACCTCCATGCGTCGTCTCAGCAGCATTAAGCGTGATTCCAATTCCATCGCTAAGGATATAAAGAGTAAAGGTGAGAGCATTCATCGACAGCTGCAGGACATGACCTCCTTCATCGATGAGATAGAGAAGAGATACGGGTCAGATTCAGCTATCGCTCGCATTGCGCAGTCCCAGCAATTTACCCTTGTGCGGGCGTTCCACGACACGATGCTTGACTACAACACAGAGGAGATGAACCAGCGGGAAAACTGTAAAACACGGATCCAACGGCAGCTGGAGATCATGGGGACAGATATTTCCAACAACGAGATCGAGGATATGATGGAGCAAGGCAAGTGGGATGTCTTTTCCGGGAATCTCCTGAGCGACGTTCGAGGAGCCCGGTCCGCACTCTCAGAAATCGAGCTACGGCACAGGGAGCTTCTGAAGCTGGAGTGCCGTATCCGAGAGGTGCACGAGTTGTTCCTGCAAATGGCTGTGCTGGTGGAGCAGCAGTCTGAGACCCTGAATATCATTGAGTTGAACGTGCAGAACGTCCAAGACTATGTTGGGGTCGCCAAAGTGCAGATAAAGAAGGCCGTGGAATATAGGAATAAGAATATCTGTAGACAGCTCTTTTGTTGTTGTTGCTCAGGTTGATCTGTGTTCATATTCTCTGTGTCTGGCTGCTGGCAATCATCTTCCCAGGAGATTCACAATGTACTATTAAGAACCTGCTTTCTCAAGGCTTTCTCAACTTGATATAAAACTTTCATGTTGCAATCAAACACAGTTCCCTTTAGCTCCAGACGTCCTACTATCTCTGTGTGAAAGATTACCACCAGTCGTAGCAGATTTGTAACACTGGTTTATAACTGAAGCCAGTTCATCCTTCCATTAACCTTGGGAGAGTGACAAGAGAATTAATAACAGCAGTTTACTGTGGGGAACTGGTGCATGCTGGCTTGTGCGTGTATGTATCTCTGATTTGTATGTTGTGTATATAATAATAATCGTTGCTTTTGATATAGCTCTTTTCATGTCTTCTCAACATCTCAAAGCGCTTCACAGAATAAGCTGTAAAGTGAATTGACTGTATATTTGTGGGCGAAACGCGGCAGCCAATTGCACACAGCAGTGTCCCACAAACAGTCGCGGATTGAAAATGACCAATTTATTATTGTTTTGTTTCGGAGGGATTATTATTAGATGTGTGGGGTAAGGAAACTTGCCCAAGGTTTCGCCCTGCTGGGAATTTAACCCAGGTGTCTTCGCTTGCAAGGCGCGTGCTCTACAGGACTCCACCATTTTATTGTGTTGTTATGAAATGTATTGTATTGTCATTTTCCTACCCCTAAATATTGAAAATGAAAGGAAGAGCTATCAATGGTCTGAGATTTAAGTATCTGTCTTTGGACTGAACCTAGTCCTTTTTGCATTGTTGTTATTGTTAAATTCTCTGTTAAACTGTCAGGCAGGAGGGAATGTGCATCTTCCCATCCCCTGCCCAATAGTTCACTTGCTTTGATCGAGTCTGTTGTACTGAGACAGGAATTGGATTATAACTGTTCAGTTTGGGTGATTACGCTCGACCTTTTAAGAGCAGAAAAGGACATATATGTGTGTTCTCTATGTGTGTGGTTCTCTGGATAGATGTGTGTGTGTGTTCTCTGGATATATGTGTGTGTGTGTTCTCTGTGTGTGTGTGTTCTCTGTGTGTGTGTGTGTGTGTGTGTGTCTCTCTGGATATATGTGTGTGTGTTCTCTGTGTGTATGCGTTCTCTATGTGTGTGTGTGTGGTTCTCTGGATATATGTGTGTGTGTGTTCTCTGGATGTGTGTGTGTTCTCTGTGTGTATGCGTTCTCTATGTGTGTGTGTGTGGTTCTCTGGATATATGTGTGTGTGTGTTCTCTGGATGTGTGTGTGTGTGTGTGTGTGTTCCCTAGCTTATGCACGTTCACTTTCTCTTTCCCTCCTCTACATTGCTCCCCTTTTTAAACACCAGATTATAGCAAGAGCTTCAGGAGATCTCCCGATGTTACAAATTCCATATAGAACTTGTCAGAAATTACACATTTGTGAAATTCTTGACAAAGGGAATTTTTTTATTTATTCAGAATTCTTCAAAAAGATACTGTGTTTGTGGTACAAACAGGAGCTGAGTCTCTCAATGCCTTTTCAATCTCGAATTCCACCTCAACCTCTGACGTAATCTTCAATCTCCAAAACCAGCACGTACACATGCCATTCAGTCCAACTAGTCCTTGCTGGTGTTTATACTCTATTTGAGCCATTACCCCTCCTATTCCCCTCTCCTATATCCCTCTACTTCCTCTCCCTTGTATATGCATTGAGTTTCCTCTTAAATAGGTTGTTGCTTTCTGCTTCCCCCACAGCTTCCAGCAGTGAGCTCCATATTCTCATCACTATAAGGATGTCTCTCCTAAACCCCTTATTAGATTTGCTAATGGCTAAATTATATTTATGCTCTCTTGATTTGGATTCACTGAAAAAGTGGAAACGGTCTATTGATGTCCACCTTATTGAATCCTTTTATAATATTAAACACCTCTCTTATGTCCCCTCTCAATTGTCTCATCTCCAGAGAGAAAAGCTCCAATCTGTCCAATCTTTCTTATAGGTGTATCCACTCATCACTGGTAATATTCTAGGAAATCCAGTGTCAGTGTGTGTTTGCTTCATGTCAACAATCCTGTAGATATATTTAAGATACTGTGCCAAGCACATTTTAGCTGGAAAGGCTGGAGCAAAATATATTGGAGAGAGGCATGAACTATTTCAGGAACAACTTATACATGTTATTTCATTCTGCTTTGTTTCCATTGCTCCCCAATACTGTATAATAATGTTACATGTAAAAATTTGTGCAAGACTGATGTTATCTCAATCTACGTCTTTTTTTTGGAAAAAATGCTTTGAACTGGAAAGACAAATGTCGGAGAGTGATTAGAATGATGGATCGCTCCACAGTCAGAACATTGATTTAAAGAAAAATTTTAAATGTTCACTGATTGGCAATGTGACAAAATGAATTGTGAGAGCAATGGGATTACTTAAAGAGCATTTATCATATTCATTTATCATATGCCAGAGAAGGGGACAAGTGTTTGGAGTGTATGGTAACAAGTTAGAATGACTGTTGCCAATAACACAGTAACACACTTCCTCTTTTTGCCTTTCACATTGGGTACAGCTCAGGAAGGATGAGATCAAATTGGTCGAAGATCTTGTGATCTTTTCAGTTCAACATTGTGACTGTGATGTTCCCTGTTCTCTCAGAAATGTATAGTTTCACATCTTAATGTGGTGCCCTGTGGAAACATGGGATTCCAACCCATTTGCCAGTCAAAACCATAACAGAATCCACTACCAAATAGTGTTTTCATACAAGAACTTTGAGTACTTTGGAGCATAATGGTGTATTATTGTGCCTTATTGTAACTTTAATTTCATATTATGAACAGATTATCTTTATTAGTAAAGGATTTTGTATTCAAACTTAAAGAGTCTTTGTTTCTTTACCAGCCTGCCTCCTTCTCTCACGTCAAATCCTGCCACTGAAGCCATCATTCATGCCTTTGTCATCTCCCATCAAGGCTTTTTGAATGAACTCTTTGTTGATCTACCTAATTCCACTAGCCACAACTCCAGCTAATCCAAATCTCACCGCCCACATCCTGACCTACACCAAACTCCATGTGCCTATCACCCCATCTTTGCCAGGCTCAACTAGTTTCTTGCTCCAAATGGATCTATCTCAATGCTCTCATCCTCACTTATTAATCTCTTCATGACCTAACACCTCCGTGTCTGTCATTTTCTTCTGACATGTTCTCGTGCTTGCCCCCAATGTATCCCCTCTACTCGTCTAACTCCAGTGTATTCCCCTATCCCTTCCTCATCACCATCAGTGGCTGAACCTTCATCTACTACTGCCTAATTTCTAAAACTCCTTCCCTCAACTGCTCCGTCACTCCTCTCTAACAATGTTTAAATACCACCTAAAAACTTACCGCACCTATGGTCATTTCCCCATTCCCCCCTCCTCCTCCTCTCCTTCTCCTTTGCTTCCCAGTGTTTGAGAAGCACTTCGAGGCATTGTTCTACGTGAATGGCACTATGTAAATGCAAGTTGTTATTGTTGATCACAGTGCCTTTCTCATCGGGAAGATGACTCAAAGTGCTCCACCTGTTGACTGGGCACCTGAGCTGGGGGTGGGAGGGTGGAAGGGGAGAGCAAAGGTACCCGAAATTGCGGTCAAAGAGGGAAGTTTTGAGAGATGCTTTAAAAGAGGGAAGAGAGGAAGTTGGATGGACTCCAGGATGGAGTTCCAGAGAGTAGGGGGTAGAAAACTGATACTAATAATAAGATTGCAAGGAACCTGTCCCCAAATCATTCACATTGTGTTTACAGTTTAGTGCTGCAATATGACAACAATAATCCTTGCATTTGTTATAGGGCCTTATCCATTCTTTGAGACGTCTCAGAGCGCTTCACAGGATATACTGTGGGCGAAACGAATGAAGTGTTGAAGCTGCCTCCAGAGACCATCTCCCCTGGCACATAGGTCACTGGGTACCTGAGACTGCGGATGGTCTCTCCCACTGCCTCTGGCTGCATCAGTCACCACTGTTTTTCTGGCTGGCAATGGGTTGGGGAGGAGGGGGGGGTGGGGAAGGGGGGCAGTTTGCTGGTTAACGATAGGGCTCTTAAGCCTCAATTCTGCACTGACCTGCCTTCAACCCCGCAGGGAATTGACCACAGCCAGAAAAATCAAGACACGATTCAAAATCTAAAGAGAGTTTGTATAAGGTGTTGTTTCACTGTGAGCTGCTGCCAATTCCTCTGGGTTTGCGATCCTCCAGTTTTATTTTCGGTATAGCCTGCTCCGTGTGGAATTGGTACTGCAATGTGAACCCGAAATCACACAAGCCTCTCAGGTCAAGTCAACAGTGAACATCAATTACCTGTAACAAGACACCACTTTATATTAATGAAACAGCCTGGCTCTTTTTTAATAGGCCTATACTCAAGAGGTTTGACACACAATGACCACAATTCCCTCTGGATAACAAAGAACTTATCTTTCTTTGGTGACCTAAGAAACTCCTCAGGGCTCTTTCTTGGGCTTAAAAAATGTGGTACTATCTTCTAAACTTCAATCACGATCATTTAACTCCTTAATTATGGCCCAGCATGACTTTATTGCATGAATTCCGTCCTTGTGGCAGAGTCCTGTAATCAGTGGTTAGAGCACTTGCCTTGCAAGCAAGAGACCTGGGTTTGATTCCCGGCAGGGCAAAACCTTAGGCACATTTCCTTTCTTCACACGCCTGATAATAATCCCTCAAGAAAAAATAATAATTTGGTCAATCAATCCATGACTGTTTGTGGAACACTGCTATGTGCAATTGGCTGCCGAGTTTCACCCACAAATATACAGTCAATTCACTTTACTGTATATTGTGAAGCGCTTTGAAACGTCTTGAAGACGTGAAAAGCTCTAAATCAAATGCAAGGATTATTTATTATCATTATTGTAAATGCTTTAGGACGTCCTCCTGACATGAAAGGCGCTATAGAAATGTAATTTGTTTTTGTTGTTAAGATTAGTGTGCTGTTATATTAGTCCTAAGTACATCATGGTCAAAACTTGCTGGCTTATGAACAAATCTTCAGTGGGAACATGCTTCTTTCAGTGTACAGTTTTTTTCACCAAAATTCAAAAATGCTTGTCTCTT